TCAAACAGCTGAACATCCACTGGCTCAGATCTCAGATCGGCATCGTGTCCCAGGAGCCGGTGCTGTTCGACTGCACGCTCGCGGAAAACATCGCCTACGGAGACAACACCCGCAAAGTGACCATGGAGGAGATAGAGGCAGCTGCCAAAGCCGCCAACATTCATAACTTCATAGAAGACCTGCCTCAGGTAAACGCCTTTATTCAGCTCATTTTAGATCAACTTTTCCCAGATTTATCCCTCTGCCCGTCTCCTCTGGGTTCAGGTAGAGGTTAAAGTAACTCGATAAGAAATGCGGTGCTCCTCTGACGCTACATGAACATAAGTCACTGGATATGTGTGGTGTTACTCCTTCAACAGATGTTAAAATACTTTAGTTTTTATTATTGTCAAAGAACAACAAATATATGTTGCCAAATGTATGGTAATGGCAAATAAATCTTTTTAAAAGATTGAGATATTCAAAAAGGTTTCATTTAATAAACGAAGAAAAATATTCTCAATGGCATATTGTTACAAAATAGCAGGCTTTAAGAATAATAAGCAAACTGATGATTATTCCGATTTAATGTTTATTTGACAGAAATTTCTATACTCGCTACAGTAAATGCAGTCATATTGTACAAACTGGAATATTGTTGAAAAGTTCATTTATTTTAGTTGCTCAACTAAGTGAAACACGTTATGTAGGTTAATTAATAACAGACAGATATTTTCAATCCTTTATTTCTGTTCATTGTGATTCTTTTCCACCTACAGCTAAAAAATATGACTAGAATATGGCAGGAGTCTCATAAAATGATTTTTAATATAGAAAATACCTGCTTAACGGCTGTTATTTTCTAAAGGTACCTTTTTAATTTGGCCAACGAGTTTCATCTGAACACACATCCTAATTTATTGGCTGTATATAAATATATGATCAGCAGGCAGAGATATGAACCGTGATGATTGCAAAGCTGGATTACAGCTACAGATAAGACAGAAACAATTGAGGCCGTCTGGGGGAAAGTTTATCTAAACGGAGTCTGATGCAACCTGAAACAATAGAATGATAATTTTTTTTCTAAAGGACTTTTATGTAGGAAAGGTTTTAAAGCCGCAACAAAAATCTGAGATAAGTTTTAGCTGTTTTTATCAAGAACAAATCTTTACGAGGTTTGAAAGGTCTCAGATAAAATCTCTGTCGTGATGTCGAAGGTTTTAAAGTTCTGATTTATTAGATGAATATTTGTCAACTTTTTATTCGCTCAGCTTTAAACTCCGTCTGAGCCGTTTTCAATAATTAGGACAAAACGCGCTCCAGGAAGGAAACTTCCTTTCACACCCACAACATAAATTTCCTGGGAACATGAGACTGGATTACAGGAAGCTGCTTCCGTGAATTTGTCTGCATTAACGTCTTGATGTGCGCCTCACTCCGTTTCCGTCTGCTTGAGCAGAAGTACAACACTCAGGCGGGCGATAAGGGGACTCAGCTGTCCGGCGGTCAGAAGCAGCGAGTGGCCATCGCCAGGGCCATCCTCCGCAACCCGAAGGTGCTGCTCCTCGACGAGGCCACCTCCGCTTTGGACACAGAGAGCGAGAAGGTTTGTCCTTTCTGTTCCATCACCGGATATCAGGTTACTAAATGATCTTCAACCAGCCTGGCAAACAAAAACAATCACTTGGAAAGGAAGGTGAAGATCGGAGAAAGTGTGATTATTTAGCTAGAAAGCAATTTTTTTTTTCTTGGCTTTCAATGGGACACGTTTCTCATATAACAATATTAAAGTGTGTTTATAATAATGCACAAGTTAATGATCCCTGCTGTGCTTAGAAACAGCAAAGTAGTGCAGGAACTGCAAGTAACTATAGTAAAGAGCATAGGTTTGGGGGGGAAAATTTGCTTTTTCTTAATATTAAAATAAGACTAACCTTTATTTTCACTGTGCCGACTTGTGCAGTAGTATAGCAGAAGTGGACTCCTGACCCATTCAAGGTCCATAGGGAAATGCTGCTTCAAAATCCATTTATTGAATGAAAAAAAAAAGTTGTATTACATAATCTTGTCAGATTGAATTGATTGCCCCGAGTTGTTGACGTTACAGAAATCTGCCCTCCTTAGCAAGCACTTGGTGAAAGTAAACAGGAATTACTCATCACTAAGGCCATGTTCACTGTTCACACAGCAGCTGAATGCGACCAAACTGTATTTATTTTTCCCCAATATGCGACCCATGACAGTCTATATGGTTCAATTCTAATCGTTTCACCCCTCAAAAATCCTAAATCGGACACATATCCATCCGATTGTGCCTCATTGTAGAAATTGATCCATTATTACTTCAGTAAACGGGGTCCTGTTGTGACGTCAGCAGTCTGAATGCATTTAATTAGTAGTAGTACGTACGACCGTGCAAAAGCAGTTGAATTTCAGCATAAAATCTGAATTGAGCATCGAGATCTGCTGTGTGACCTGCTTTCAGGTCAATCAGCAAAGAGAGAGCCGTTTTTCTGCATCAGCTGGCCATTTATCAAAACCAACTTGTGTGATTAAAAAGGAGGAACTCATCTTTAACGGGAGGTCGTTTTTTTTTTTTTTTTTTTTTTTTTTCCAGAATGATGATTTGAAAACAGAAAAAACACAGAAGCAAGGAGACGGGTGTACTTTCTATGGGAAAGAAAAACAGAGACAGAGCTCTAGGCTAATGGCAGAAACTCGTATACTTTAATATTTGATTCTTTTTCTTTCCTTTGGTTTGTTATTTTGTTTGGATTTTCTTCATCTGAGGCACTTTGAATCACTTTGCTGCTGAAATTGTGCTATATAAATAAAATTACCTTACCATCAGTTCACCAAAACTTGAAAACACTGAGCCATTTTTTTTTTTTCATTTTCTTTCTTCTGTGGAAAACAAAAAAATGAAAAGAGGGTGTGGATTCAAAAGCAGCTCATTCATTCATTCATTACTTCGTTGCAGGTGGTGCAAGACGCCCTGGACCAGGCCAGCAAAGGCAGAACATGCATCATCGTGGCGCATCGTCTCTCCACGATCCGGAACGCCGATCGCATCGCCGTCTTCCAGGGAGGCGTGGTGGTGGAACAGGGGACGCATCAGCAGCTGCTGGCAAAGAAGGGAGTCTACCACATGCTGGTCACCACACAGCTGGGCCACGGGACTGAGTGAGAGGAGGCTGGAGGAGGAAGCACTTTGTGCCTTCACATTGTTGCACTTACACTGATCTATACAGAACGACCTCAGTGGAGTGACGGCGACCGAAGGAGCTGGCTGCGCCTTGCGAGCTGCACTGTTAGTAGTTTTGCTGCTGTTGATTTGCCGTTGACACTTTATGGGGGTTTTTCACACAGAAGGAAAACGATGTATTGCTTTGTGAAAGTAGGGAAATCCTGGATTGCATTTGTGCCTTTTTTTTTTTACCTATAGATGTCTTTTCACTGAAACTGTGGAAAATGCTGAACTGTAACGTTTCTTCTGCTTTTAAACATCGGCTTATGTTTCTGATTGACTTAAATGGTGTTCGTAGAAATATTCATTAACTGAACTGCTTCATTAAACCTCATGTCTCATTATGTTCCTTGTAGCTTACAATGTATATTTTCTCCTTTAAATGTATTCAGATTTAAACGAGTCTTAATCGTTGATGCTCCGATTCTTTTTTTTTTTTTTCCTCTATGACCAGATACATTTTTATTGTGTCAAATCTATCTATTGTTCAAGCTTTAAAGCTTCATGCCTCCATGTTTTCCTGTTTGGATCCTTAGTGGCACATGTGTTAGCGGTAGCTATCGCCTCACACTCCTCTTTACCGACATGTTTGATGCGCTCTGTTGAGTTATGGTTCCAAAGTTGGGATTTCTCTGTGGCTTAAGATGACCTCCAGACGTTAAATTATTCTTAAAAATGCTTAATAAATATTTTCTACAAACGATGACAATAGTTGTAATAAAGTGATATGAATTGTGGAGAAAGTAGTTTACATTGTTATCTCTAGCTTTTGCTACCATTTTGACAATGTTTGTACACTTAAGTTGCTGTTATTTTAGGTTAGATTGGATATTTTAAATTTATAAATAAAAACTGTTCAAGCAACATAAAGACATATGAATGGGCAGATATAAGCTTAAATATGAGTAATGGCCAGTAAAAATACGCATTATGTAAGGCCTAAACATGCCGGTTCATTTTAGGGTCTTGATGCAATATTGAAACTTTTATGCATAATTAAGTGTAAATGCATCAGACACGCCGGGACCACTGATGCAGAGTTGATATCCTGAGGTAAATGTATCTGGGTCGTTAATATTTCAGTAACTTGTGAGAATGAACCAAAAATGAATGATAATAAAATGATGCATTCAAGCATTGAGCCATTTTGTCTTTGTGTGTTTACCTTGGGGACAAAAAAAAAAGTCAAAGGATTCTCTCTTGTTTATTTCTCAAAAGACTTTTTACAACAATGTTTACATAATGAGCTTCCCCTTCCCCATAAAATGAGTTCAGAATTGAAACAATTCAATAGCTGTGGAATTTACAAAAGCATAAAGAATGCTGTTAAAATCAAACGTCTGGGACATTTTTCAGTAGAAACATTCAGCCTTTTGTTTGGTGTTCAAAGCAGTTCAGGAGGTTTTAGATCAATAAACAAGGCAGCAGACATCTTAACGTAGTTTCATAGTGTCTGAATCTCAGATTTTTCCACATTTTGTCACATTTCAACCACCAACATGTTTCACTGGGACGTGATGGACTAGACCAGGGATCTGCAGCCTACGGCTTCTTTGACTTTCCACAAAGGTTTCTAAGGATTTTGGCTAAAAATAACACAACTAGGAATAAAAGTAATCAATTAAAGAGTTAATCTAAAGTTGACTTTTTATCGATCGACTGACGATTAATTGATAAGCAGCCAATTTCTTAACAAACTGAGCTTTCTCTTGTATCAAAAGGGCCGGCTGTCTTTTCATAACACAGAGCTACATTTTTCATAATTTATTCATTTTTCTTCATGATTAAATACAAAATTTATTAATAATCACAGATGCTCTTCATCCAAACGCCGCTTCTTAAGTGTGGTTCTACAAACTAAGTACTGACAAAAGTACAAATGTGGGAACCAATTATCATTATTTAACTTTGCATTTATGCACAATTATGTCACAGGGAATCCCACTAAAATACATTCAAGTTTGTGGTTTTCACATAATAAAATGTGGGAAAGTTCAAAGGTTGTAAAAACCACATTTGTTATGTATTTTCTTACATGCAGCAACACCCAAACACTGGGAGCCAAAGCTTTTGTGGAGCCTTAAAAGTTCTAAAAATGAACAATTTAAATGAATTTAATGAATCCATCGTAGATCAAAGGTAATGAATCCATTTGTTTATCATGAAGAGGTAGAGTCAGCTTGCATAATCACAGATCTGAGGATGTTTAAAGAAGGCAGAGGTGTGGAACAGTCCATTTTAAGGCATGAATATTTTAAAAGATTTCAGTGCACAATGTCTACTACAAATCAGCAGAGACATTTTACATTAATGCCAGAATGCATCAGCTGCCCTCACCCTCAAACTAGTAGATTTCTTTATATGAGTATCAGTGATCATTATGTTCATTTAATGAGCTGCTGAGCTTCATTAATAGGGATATTTAGACAAAGCTCTGTTCAGATAAAGACTATTCCCTTCACAGCCAGAACTGGTTGTTTCATATTTCAGAAAATTTGATTTCAACAAGGAGGGTGATTCAGGGGCTTTTTAAGGCGAAAAATTTTTTTTTTTTTTTTTTTTTTTTTTGTTGTTGTTACAACAATTGCATACAAATCAACAAATTTTACGTCAAATCTAGAAAATTAAAAGAAATACATGTACACACAATATGAATTTATAACAGAAATTAATGCCTACAAGGAATTTAAAAATACTACAATTAGTAGAGCTCCTATACAGGAGCACACTGCATTGATTTGCTCGTTTGCATTGATTTGCACTGATCTAGCTGTCGGGTTAAACTCAGTCTGAGCTGCATGTGCACAGAATAAGATTAAGAAATGATGATATCCTCCTGGTTTTGGAGAAGTACTTAAAGCTGAGCGGTGGTGGCCAGGTGGAGCATCTCATGCATGCAGCTGGAGAAGACGTTAAAGAGTGAGGCTGCATCTGTCTCACGACAGGACTTCCAAGCTGTGATGGAGATCACAATCCTACATGATGGGGAAAGTTGTTTTTTTTATTAGGAGCTGCTACCACGCGCAGAAGAGGCAGTTTTACAAAGTGGTGAACTTCAATAGCACATTGCAATACTTTTGGACAACAAAAGTCTTCATCTTCACCTGTCGTCTCTGATGCGGTAAAAGAAACCGTAACCATGGTGAACCATCGGCGCCACCGCCCCCATTATTGTTGTGTAGCCCACCAGACTGGACGACAGCACAAAGTTCCCACCACCGCCACTGCAGACACAAATGCAGCAACCAAGGATCCAGTTTGAAATCCTGCTCTAGCTCTAAAGGACAAACCTGATTTTGATTTCTGTATTGGTGAGCGTTTATGTGTGAATTCTCAAAGAACAAGAGTCAGAAAAAAAAACTAAAGTTGAGTGTTAAGTTGCAAAAAGACATGATTTAATCATTAAATTTAAATCATTAAATGTAATGATTTAATGATTTAATTAAATCATTAAATCATTCATTTAATGATTTAATGAATGATAAAAAGATTTTTGTGTTTTATATAATGCAATAAGCAAAAAACATTTAGAAATATTGAGCATACATCCATACTCAATATTTCTCTTATCCTTACTAAATTAGATATGTACATTTTTTTTTCTTTTTTGCTTTAGTGGCCTTTATTTGAAATGCTAAGACAGCACTTCTAATGCATTAGGTAACTGTAATGCATTGGAACCCTTAAATACTAAAATTAAATTTGACCTATTTATTAAGTAGCAAACTTGATTTTGGGACACATTTCTTGATTATAACCCAGTGCAACATCATCCGACTGCTGCAGCGAGAGAGAAAAAGTGTGACCGGCAGTACCTCCTGGAGTAAAGCGGGTCAGAGAACAGCTCAGGGGTCGGACGTCCTTCTTCTTTAGCAATGAGATAAAGCCCAAGGAGATGTCGGTCAAAACCTGCAGCCAGAAACACAAACAGTGTGAAATATTGACACAAACACGCATCAGGAGGTTTGGCATGCATGTTTTAAAGAGCGTGGATGGATTTCATCATTGACTCGGATCAAAATAAAACAATTTGTGAAAAAATACGTTTCATGGTCCTGTGCTTAAAAACGCGACCACTTCAGCAAAGGCTACTCTAAACATCCTGCTGTTTGATGCTACAATATTTGCCACAACTTGCTTTACCTGTTGCAGCTCCTGAGAAAGCAACAGTGTTGTTTTAGTCAAACTTCTGCAAGGTCACACTTATTTATTTATTTATTTATAAGTTTTGTTGCTGTGAAGTTTTAATCTGCTTCGGGTCTTACGGAGTTAAAATGGTGACCGCTTAAAATGAAACTGAAGAGAAATATTGGTATTTATAAACATTATAGTAACTTAAAATATTAACATTTCTCTGTTCTGGAAATGTTCGAATTGAAAGTGAAACAAAAATTGATCATGAAAAAAGATTAAAACTCTAGAAATAATTAAATGAATAACTACTGTTTAGAAATGATCAAATGAGACAAAAACATTAAACATGGAACAGAGTGGCGTACTTTACTGGGTCATTCTGGCTGATTTAAAAGAGCTTTGAAAGGTACTGGTTCTTAAAATCATTTTTTATTCATCCATGTCTACCTTTAAGAAAGGAAAGAGGTCACACTTCTGTGAGAAGAAAGCTTCTGGGTGTGCAGGAATCATCAGCAACAATCAGAATATCTACCAATATCTAAGATCTGGAACAATGATAGAGGCTCTGGGATCAGATTGACAGATTCAAGCTAATGTACAACATTTTTCATTGAAATATTTAAAATCATAAGATGTTTTAAAAATCTTATGGCTCCCAAAAGCAGTGTTACATTTATATAGAAATATCAGGCAATATTTAGAAGAATATTTCACAAACTCACCATTTCCATCTTGAGCCTCGGACATCAGCTTGTTGTGTTTATTAAAAGCTGAGAGCATGGCGCTCCTCCTGCCATTCGCCTGGGAGAGAACAGCTCAGTTTTATTTACGAAGCACTTCACAAAAAACAAAAACGCATCAAAACATACAATAAAAACCAAGAGAAGAAAAAGTCATAACTAGAGATGTAAGTGTTCATCTGCATCAGAGGACCGCACAATATCAGAACTGTGGGCTAGAAATGGCCCACAGTCCACAATTTGAGCCTCCCAGAGTTAAATCATTCAAACACTGATAAAGCAAAATGTCGAATTACATCACACGCAGGGTCCATCATGGCCTTGCACCAGCTCACAGCCTCCCGTGTGCAGGGCCGCATGGTCTCGGTCCTGGCGTGGTAAAACTTGCGCGTCGTTGCCGTCTCATAGCAGCTTCCTGGTCTGGGGAAAACACGAGCACACATTCAGAGTCAGATAGTTTGAAGTAAAGCGAATAATCATCAAAGTGTTGCTCGCGTACTTCTTGTGTAATCTGTAGTAAGCTAGCTGCATTGCCAGCTGGATAAAAGTGTCTGGATGCAACTTCTTCTGCTTGATGGCTGATTTTCCAAAAGCTGTGAAGGCGTAGCAAACAAGCTGAAGGTCCTGGGTCTGAAACAACACAGAGTCTATAGTGATCCTCCTCTTTAATAAAATAAATGCTTCCCCCCCCACCCCCCCGTTAGGTTTTCCAAAGGCTCACAGACTCCAGATACTGCTGTTTGGCATGACGAATGTCACTGTGGGCTTTTTCATCCAGAGTAAACAGCAGCTCCTCGGGGAGGGGGATCTGCCTGACCTTGTCTGAGCCCTAGGCAGCAAACACACCAGGAGAAGTTAGAGAATGAGTTCATATGTCCAGAACAGGAGAAACGTTAGTGTTTACCTTCCACTGTCCCTCTGTAGCTCTGATTTGCTGGTCAAGATACCAACACATTGACACCAGAACCATTGCATCATAAGGTGCGTGCTGCAAGACAAGTTCACAGGAAAGATTTGACATAAATCTACAAGTCACACCTGGAACCTTCCTTCAGTCCCATCAGCTTCAACATGTCCTCCATTTTCAAGGGCCAGTATCATGTAAAACTGACTTTTTTTATATATACAACACTATAATGTTATTCATCAAACACATATATAGAGTGTGGCCTTGATTTTTTCATGCATGTTTGAGAAATCCTTTAATCCCCCATGGCAACCATTCAGCTGTGCAAAACGCCTGGTTAGACCTAGCCCCGCCCTCGAGACGCAGCTTCAGAGCTTTCGTCTCACAAAGCACCCCTCTATGGCAATTCTCCCACCCAGCTCCTTCAGACTAGCCAGAAGCAATTAGCAAACACCTGGTGGGATTGCACATCTGCTGAGCTCGTCTGTGCAACGCTGATTAAACGTTGTAAAGGGTTAATAGAGGAGCTCTATTAATGATGTTGCGACGACCTCCTGAAGTTGGAGTTTCAGAAAGAGTAGGAGCTTTTAAAGAGACAGAGGCCCAATTTTAAAGAGTTAAATTACAAAGTTACATTTATTTTAAAGGCATGATTGAGACATGTAGCATTTTTACAACTGAAGGTAACATAGTTATTTACATAGTCATTTAATTGTGCTATAAAATGGCACTATGTGCCCAGAAAACTCCAGATAAAACCAGATATCTTTACATCTTTAACAGTTCACCGTCAATTTAAGTCAGATAAAATCTATCCAACCTTTGGTTCAGTCCATCCTTTTACCAAATCTATCCAACTTCCCCCTATCCATCCGGCCCTTCATTTATCTCTGTCCCATGCCCACATTTATTCATCCATCAATCCCTCTGTCCCATCATCCATCCATCCATTTATCAGTTCTGCTTTCAGAGGGGGGATGGATAAAATGTTTAGAGAAAGGTACAGGCAACAAAAGTCTATAAATAAATGTTTCCATACTCTTATTTTCCATTCTTAGCCAGGCCCAGATTACACATAAACTAAATTGCAGGCTGTGTGGAAACTGTGCATTTAAACTTCTAAAAAAGAACCAAATATGAAAACCTACATCACAGGTGGATCCAAAAGTGCCGTCTGCAAAAGCGATTGAGTTGTAGGATTTATCCCCCCACCGGATGGTCGGGTTGCCTGTGAGGCCCGCCGCTGTCAGCTGCACAGAAAACAGAATACTCAGATCTCTTTCCTCATTGTTAGGAAATAACTGAGATTTGAGCAGCTCAGACATTGGTGTAGTTCTCCGGACTCGAGTAGGGTTTGGATTCGTCCAAGGAGATGACAAACAGGCTGCTCTGAATGGTCTCCAGAATCGTCTTATTGTGCGGATCGATGCTGATTAGATGCTCTCTTGCCTAAAAATAAACACAGGAAATGCTGATCCTCAGTGATGCTTTGGTAACATGAGATTTTAGAGCGATGACCCATAATGTTGTTTATGTTATTTTCTCTTTAAACAACCAGGAGCCGAACCTTCGCCCAGCGAGTCCGCTCATCAGATGTGAGAGCGGAAACTCCGTCTCCCTCCGGCTCGCCTTCGCAGCGCTCCTTCACAAAGATCAGCTGCCTACGCAAAACCAGACACATATTCACAACCAACTTAGATTCACCCATTTTAAATCTTTTCATTTCATAACAGAGAGCTCCATTTTGTGTTGCTTAAAAATTCAGAATATAGAATAATCTGAGGTTAAAACAAGAGAACAAATTTAGAAAAAGGCTGATTTTCTTCAATCCTAAACTGAAACATATTTCTTCAGTTAATTTATTCAAGAAATAAAGTATTTAAAGTATTTTAAAATCAATGAGATGCAGAAAAAAAAGTGCCAGGGTAACAATCTTCAGATTGCAGTGACATTAAATAACCAAATAAATGGTTCAAAAAACAAAAGAAGTTAATAAATATTGTTGGGCTCGATGGAGGATCTGTGCCTGGCGATCTGTGTTTGCTTCCCACCTGAGGAGCTCTGGAGGACTGAGGATCTGTCCATCAAACAGTGCATCAAAAGTAAAAATCCGTCCGCGGCACATCACCACCAGGTGGGAAGGACACGGCCCCTCGCTCACTGAGAAACATAATCAAACGAGCAGTGAAGACAGGGGTCGAAGGTTACGGGTGTGTCTGAAAGCTGCAGAGCTGCACCTGTCTTGAAGTAGTTATGAATGGTGTCCTTCTTCACTCCAGGAACCTTGCAGGTGCAGTAGAGCATCCTGAACTGATCCATGTCCAACGGGGTTTTCCCAGCTTTCTGGGGGGCGAGTCTCTCCCTGACGGAAACGGAGTGAAAACAAATATCTGAGCAGAGAACGTTCTCAACACTAAACCAAAAAGAAAAAAAACAAAAAAAAAACGAGCGTATGCGTGAGCATGCCTTACGTGCGGAGCAGGTCCCAGTACTGCAGCGTGTGCCATGTTATAATACTGGTCCTCTGCAGAGAACTTCCTTCAGCAGGAGGCCAGAAATGCTCCAAGTACGGCCCGGGACCGCCAAAGTTTACATTCAGCTGGGAGGGGATTCGGACCTCCAGGTAGGCTGTGTCTAACCACCACTCCTCCAGCTGAGGAAGCGTACACACATCGTTAGCTCACTTCTTAGTAAAGAAGACGTTATGTTAAGAGGCTATGTTCAGCTACAGACCCAGTTCCTCCTTTCTTGGGCTCTCTGCAGCAGTTTCTGGTGCAGCTCTTTTCCGACACCTTCTCTGAATTTTCTCACAATCTCCACTGTAGCTTTGAACTCTCCTTCTGATGCAAACGGATGAACTGAGAGCGAAATGAAAGAGAAAACAGCATTAAAAAAAACTTTTTTTAAACTGAGCATCTGAGTTTAGGTTTAGTATTTATTTAATAACTAATTACACAAGGTCATTTGTTCATCTGAGTTTGTATTTAGACAGTGGAGGAAAAGAGGAGGACCTGATAATTATGTCTCTTTTTAAACACGGTGTACATGCAGGACAGTATGTCCACACATTAACCTGCTGATAAGCCACCACTGGTTCATGGAAAACTGGGAACAGATATATTTTCACCTTTGTCACAGATGTAGAGGAGACTGATAAATATCATTATACTTTTCTATAAATTAGTAGTTCATTTATAATTTAATTCAATGTTAGCACCCACACCCTCTCTGACTGGCATATCAGTCACTCACTGGATTTCCGTGTTGCATAATGTTTTCGCTGTGTGCACTATGACTTTGCATATAATGACTTTCACCAGCTGTGTCCACTGGGTGTGTTTCTGCAGTCCCAATAAGGTCACTTTGTTTATTTTAGTTCATGTTAGTGCACTTCATAAAGCTCTACCTTTGTAGCTCTTAAAGGGGAAGTGTGTGTTTTCCAGGCACATAGTGTAATTTTACAGCACACTCAAGTAATTAATGTTGCCTGCAGTTTTAAATACATTTCAGTCAAATGGGATATATAAAACTATATTCATTATTCTCTTCCCTGATTACTTTTTTAACACATAACATGCAATCTGGAGAGCACAGCCATCCCACCTGCGTCTAGGTACTTAGAAAGGCTTCCATCTAGTGTCGGTACAGGCAGGGGAGGCAGACTGTTCTGGTACTGAAAGGTCCGCTCAGGTAGAGTACCTGCTAATCGACTGGCCATTTCTTCGCTCTGCAACACAAATTAACATTACACTCTAACAAAGAGAAACTTGTTTTTTCCCCACTACTGTAAATTGATGACAGTAAACAGCACTGACCTCCTGCAACATCAGCGGGAGATCTGGAAACTAGAATTGCACCGATGTGAAAATGTAGGCCCATATTCAATATTAAAAACAATAGCCGATATGTTCTGCATCCCTACTGGAAACACGATGCACGTCAATCACCCAAAAGATCTCCAATTTAGAAACTCCGAAGAAGAAAGAATTTGCTGCTGTAGTTAATTAATTATTATTATTATTATTATTATTATTATTATTATTATTATCTATAATATCCATGTATTACTACCTCATAAGAACTGCTCTGTGACAAAGTTAGTAGCACAGCAAGGCAGTCCTTGGTTTGAATCCTGAATGGAGTCCTCTGAATGGAGATAAGCATAAATACTTGTAATTCCTTTATTTTATATTGGATCCCTGAATTACATCTCTATTTGATGTGTTGAACTTTTTGGCCAAATTCAATGATTCTGTTCAGACTGAGTATCGCCAGGTCAAAAATCGGTACTGGCTCCTTTATCCATTGCATCACTTCTTAAAATTGCATGTATCCACTCAGAGGCGCAAAAAGTGGGTATGCAGCGTATGCAACGCATAGGGGCGCAGCACCAGAGGGGGCGCCAAAACCCCGTTTGGAGGGGGCGACGCGCCGATGATGTTTTCCCATACAGTTCAGCGCGCCTCACGCTCCTTCACCTCTCGCACATAACGAGGTACATGTAGCGAGTTTTACACTCCACGTAGCGTCGCCTCGGGGGGGTTGAGCGTCGGTCCTTCACCCTGAGGTTCCTTCCCTCGGGGGGGCGCCGATTTATGTTTTCGCATCCACCTGAACAATGTGCAGTTGCGCCACTGTATCCACTTGTCTGTGGTCAGTAATGTAGGTATAAGCAAACCAGCAAATCAAATAAGTTGTATAATTTAGCCTTGATGTTCAGAAAAAAATCCATCAAAAACTTATTTTGGTTATTATTGGAGCAAAGTAACTAACAAGGAGCCTGAATCAGACAGTCAGTCATGCAGTGAAGGCTAACGCTACAACATTTCGCAGCTAGAACACTTAGCAATGATAAGCCTGAACAGGAAACTTACTGTTAGCTTAGCTTCTCCGGGAAGCGTTGACTTTATTTTACAGCATCGATACCCGGCATTTGGTTCCTGTCGACGGCTGACCGAGTGAAAGAAGCTCGCTGTGTTGTTGTCCGTAGCTGCTGCTGCGGCACCAGACAGCGTTCACCTTTACCCTACTCATTCTCTGAGCCAACTAACGGTGTGCCTAGCGCAACTGAGCCGATTCTGTAAACCAGCACACTGAAAAGAATGATGAGACACAACTTGTGAGGCCTCAAAACTCTGCTGCATTTTCAAAGAATACAGATAAGAATTAACTCACAGTGAATAAAGAAGATGCTGTTTATAAATTAGGTAATATATTAGTCACACTGCTTAGAAGTATGCATGAATTTAAAAAATATTGTATCCAAACGTTCACATTAAAAATATGTAATTCTTATATTATTCTACATAAACAGATATACAAGCATAGTGGTCAGATCAAAACTTGAGGTAATTATGAAACCAGAAGTAATACTAAGATAAGAGCTGCATGGGACGAGAATAAATCCAGATCTCTTGGTAAGATGAGCCAAATGATTGCATCCCAAAAAATGAGCCGGAAGTCCCACTACCAGTGACAGCTCTTGCTATCACTGGTGCGCATGCGCTTGTTGACGGAGACTTTACACTTTGGGATTGACCTTTTATTAATTAAATATGAGCAGCAAGTATAACCTAATATATTACAATGAGTGGTCTAAAACAAAAGAAAATTGGAGTTAAATCATGGATTTAAAAAAATTAGACCATGATAAAATTATATATTTACATATACAGCCACCTTTTGGCTTAGTTCTTAAATCTCAGAATAAGTACTAGGTTAATACATATAAAAAATTGCAAGACCAAATTGATGGGACTAGAATAGTATGAAGGTAGTTGCTCATGTCAGCACCCTTGTTTTTTCAACCAAACTGACAGTTTGGATCTTCACTAAAGTTGTGTCAAACCACATTGCAGGTGATTTTATTCATGCAGAAAATATGAAAACTCTATTGGCTTGGCAGGACATTTAAAGAAGCTTTTATTATGTTTTGTAACTGAAAGGGGAAATGATTTATACTTCTATGTGGAATATTTCTAAATACTCAAATAATATGCATATTCCAAGTTATTAGATGCCAATACAAGTACTAATTATCGATTTTAACTTTTTTTGTTCAATGTATTTTTTTTCTATTCCTCTGTATTCTGATTTAACAATGAAAACTGAGAAACTGACAATATCAACTATAACAGGATAAGACAGTGTAGTTGAGTTGCTGCCTCTTGTGCTCATAGTGAAGCACAAAACAAAAAAACAGTTCCATTAACACACATAGTTCTTGCACTGACAAAATAAACGTCACAAAAAAAGCGAAGAGACATTTACTTTCCATTTATGTCAACATTTAATAGCATTTTTCTGCCTTGTTTTAATCCATGTTACAAATCAGTGCAGTGTAGTAAAGTACACCACAATCAGCAAAGATATAACCTTTAAAGATGCATAGTAGTTTATCAATTTTATCAGTTTACAGTGAAAGAAAAAAAAACACAAATTAAGGAATAATTATTGCCTCTGAGAACAGAAGGCAAACAGTAGCCCTGTCTCAGTAAATTATTTAGTAAAGTCATTTTTTTGCATTAGTCTAACTTTATTAGATTCTTGCAAAGTTTACTCCCCATATTTGCTGAAAAGTTCCTTAGCATGCTTGATATAGGCAGCCATCGCGTCCGCCTTGGACATTCCTGAAACAGAGGGGCAAATTAGTTACACCGAAAACAAATCATAGCATTTTATTTCCGGTTAAGCATTTGCAACCAGATAGGTTTATAATTCTACCTAGCCTAAGTATTCTTGAACCTTTTCACATTTTGTCGCATTACAGCTACACACCTCAATGAATTTTTAAAATGGGATTTAATGGATGGACCACCACAGATACATGTTACCTTTCCTGGTTTCCCAAGCTTCCCACTTTGCTTTTCCTTTTGGGTCAGTTACCCCCGGTTTGTCTGAAGAAAGCACAAACAAAAGGAAAAGAACATTGAAGAAAATGTTTATTTAGCTCACATAAACTAAGTCACATACCTATATTAATGTCTCCAACCATGGCCTGTTTATACAGACTGTATAGGATCAGTATCTCATCATCCGTAGGCTTCGTTTTCAGATTCTTCACCTGGTCTGCCACTTTCTTGAACTCTTCCTGCAGATCCACAGACAGAAAGGTCACACAGAACAGGAGAAACGCAGGGAAAGACTGCTAATATTTCATTAATAGTCAAATCAGAGCAATCAGAGTGTACCAAGAAGGAGCACAGGATGTAGAAATGTGCATGCTAATGAGCAACAGCCAACACGGATTTGTAGTCAAGCCACAAGGCAAAGTGAGGGAAACTGATTGTTGCACAAGTAGGAGTTAAACAAAGGGCTTTCTATTCAGGCCTCTGATGCTTTTGTGCTTGCTTGAATAATCTGCTTTACAAAAGATCTGGGACATGGCAGAACAGATAATTATGGTGCCCCTTTTAAGGAGAAATATAAGCCCCACTCATGTTCCTGAAACCATGACAAACAGAGGACTTGCATGTTGTAGTAAGGTATTCTCCTTTTTGCTCAAGTAGTTTTGAAGGCAGTAAATCCAGCTGCAACATCAGGACCTAAGACCCATAACATGAGCAGATCATACCTTACACGGAGCTAGCGATATAAAGCTATCGCTATCAGAGTGGAAATAAGCAGCAACTTCATGTCAGAATACCAATTAAACGCACCTTACACAAAAATTAAATGCAGTCACAGAAAGAGCGGATTTTACCTCGACAGACATGTTGGTTGGTGCAGGACGGGTCGCAGATGAAGGTTTTTATTCCGTCACTTCGTGAGCAGCTGTTGTAATTGCAAACACAACTGACCGATGTGATACTTATGAGCCAGAGAAGCAGCAGCAGCCTGCTGACGAAGAAGAGGAGGAGGATGAAGGGGCTGCAGAGCTCAGAGCTGATTGGCTGAAGGACAATGCAACACACAGCAAACACATGCGCAAGGAAACATGACCACAAAAGCGATTGGATCAAATATAAAAATTGAAGTTAAACAGCGAAACTTTAATAACTGTGTAAAAAAAAGGAAATATAACCACCTTTGGACTACTTTTACTTTTGAATTTGGATATTGTTAAATACAATTAATCAGAAATACAATTATCAGCAGACCTCACCTTTAACCAGCCACGATTAGATAATGCTTATCTAATCAGATTTGCCTTCCCACAATAATAATTGTTTACCATAATCAATAGTGTTTAAATGCGCATGTGCCAGGACGGGGTGCCCTCAGAAAGGTTGAATAGTATGAGCAGATCGGGATTATTTGCAATTAAAGACATTTAAACCCGATCTTATTTTAAATTTAGTAACCGAAATACAACATAATCTAAAAATATTTAAATGTTTTAACTATTTAAAACAGTTAACTATTTTCTGAACAAAAAAAAATGCATATCTTAATTCTACACTCATATTTGTAACTGAAACATAACAAAAAATACGTTACTAGTTAATCTTCGTACACTCAAAACGTTTTTGTAACTGAAATATAACGGAAAGAAAGAATATTACATATATATATGTAACATATAATCTTTAAGCTATACTCAAAGATTATGTGCACTGCTCCATATTTTACCAGCCAAAGAAAAATCAATACAAGTTCAAGTGTCTTTAAAACACATAAATACTTACAAAGATGAAAATTTTCTAAAGGACAAAAGAATACGTGCGCTCAGAATCTTTACTTTCCCTTAATTGCCTGAATTCTTGTTGGCATGGTAACAGGAGAGAAATGTGTCAAAGATAGTTTGTTGCTTAGATTGCTCACTCGGTAATGTTCCTGCAAATATAAAGACCGTTTGTAATACATATGCCACACTCTGATCTAATTTCAAACTCATCATTGTTTGCTTCAGCTAGATCATTTGTGCTGCTGTCGTTTTAAAGATATTAAAGCTATTAAGAAATGTTTCCAGAGGTCACAAAAGGCCAACCAGCCCCTCCCACCTTCTGCAAATCAGACAAAATTGATTTGGCTACATTTGTGCTGGTTTGTGCAACAAATTTTGTTTGTGCTGCTTTAGCTTTGAAAATATTAAAGAAAGTTTAAAGGTCAAAAGGTCAACCAGGTACCCTCCTCCTCACTTTTACAAAGTCAAAATAACCAAATGTAGTCAAGTTGATTGACACCAAATTTGTCTGATTTGCAGAAGATGGGTGGGGTTGGTTGACCTTTTGTGACTTTTGGAAACATTTCTTAATATCTTTAAAATGATAGCAACACAAATGAACATTTTGCTGCACAAACCAGCACTGTTGAGAATGAAAACGATCAGGATTTTCATTCTCAACAGCACAAAAGTAGCACAAATTTTTGACACCATTTTTGTCTGATTTGAAGAAAGATACATTCATTTGACAATATAAGAGATGAATTCATTGTTGCTGAAAGATTATCTAAAATTAGTTTTTAAACAGTCTCTAGAAGTCCAGTAGTTAATTATATGCGGAACTGTCCTGCTTAATATTGTGATATCACATAGGCTGATGTGTCATCAAAGGCTTTTGGAACTTCTGTCAATAAGAGAGCAGTTCTACGCAGAATTCTCACATTTGTCAGTTCAGTGCAAGATACAAATCGCTCAACATGGAGAGACACAGTGAAAGTAAGTATTTTTGTTTTTTAACTTAGACAAAGAAAACAGATGTAACTTTTGTGTTTATCTTTTGAAAAAATTGTGACAGCAATGTTAGAGATAGTTTACCCATTACAGGCTGTGAATAATCTGTTTTTTAGCTCCACGTCAAATTATTTTAGTTACTTTTGAGTCTCCATTACTCGTGTCCTTGGGTCACATTCACAAATTTTTTCCCCTCAATTGGCACAATCTACAGTGCTCCAAAATATTTTTCTGCCTATGTAAGCCATGTAACCATATATAACACACAAATGCACCTCAGCAATTGACGAGCTGAATCAACAAAAATGCAAAAACTCATTTTCTGTTTAAGGCTGTGAATAATCTATTTTTGAGCTCAACATCAAATCATTTTAGCTACTTTTGAAGCAAATATCAGAAGTGTCAGTTGTGCTGCTCGAACTTTTCTTGTATATTTGACAACTTCATTGAGTAAACATAAAAATGGCATCAGAAAAAAAATTACATTGTTCAATTTAACAATTTAACAATTTGCTAAATTGCAATGCTTAAAGACGTCAACATGTGAATCTTGATTTCACACTCACTCTGGGCAAAAACAAAATATTTTGCAAACCCTAATTTAAATAATTAACCTTAGACAAGTCAACATGCTTTCCAAAATACTTATCCTTAACATTTTTTTCTTTGCAATTAGTGAACAAACCGAATAAAACACATTACATAGCTTCAAAATCACAAACTTCTGCACGTCTGGTTTAAACTAATCTGTTCCACAGATTAACCTGATGTCATGCCTTCAAGAGAATACACTATATATATATATATATATATATATATATATATATATATATATATATATATATATATATATATATTCAGCATCCCTCTTCCATGACTTTGTTTTTTCTCTTTTTGTGCAGCTACGCTGAAACGAAGCCTTCGTTTAGCAAATAATGGATACTACGACTCGAATGGGAAACCAACAATATCATACCGAGAGACGAGAGTCAGGTATTTTATATATCCATCCTTACATCCGTTTTTTTACACCCTTGTCCCTTAGTGGGGTCGGGGGGGTATATTATATAAGCATTTTTTTAGCTATTATGTTTAACAGTCATCCGCTGATCAATGTACACATTTAAACATTTGTATTTTTTCCATCTTGGGCCAGGGGGATGCGAAGAAAACGCTTAGTAAGAAGGGGACTAATAGATGGATACAGTTTGGACAGCTACCAGGATAATGATATGCTTTTCAATATAAAAGAGGAGATTGTCACTCTCATGCAACGTCATGGGATCATCTGTTTCATTTTGCTCCTTTTTGGTAAATACTCTCCTTCCACAAACAAGCAATTTGAAAGTGTTGTAGAAAGTCTGAATTTTTTATGCTATGTCACTGACTGTCATCTTCTGCTCTTGTTCATCAGGATGTAGCTGCCTATTTTCTGCTCAGCACTTGCGATCTTCCAAGTCATTTGTTACTCAACCTACAGAGGACACAACAGCTACAGAGGACACTACAGCTCCAGTGGACATGGTAGGTTTTCTCTTCCAAATATTAACTTTGATTTAAATATCTTGAACAAACTTGAGAACAATTTGTTAATTTCAATGTTGTGACAAACTTTCTGTCTCTTTATAAGAATCCAGAAAAGATCCCAGAACCTTTCCACAAAGATCTGCAGGAGATGAAGAAGGAGATGAAAAAGAAATTCAACTACCTTCTGCCACCAGCGGATCTTTGGCCAAACTTTGCTCTGGAGTCTCAAGGTGAGCTTTTAGAAATAAGATCATAAACCAGATTGCAGATTTTCAGTGTTAACGTTTCTTGACTCAGTATTTCTGTTTTTTTGTGCAGGTGCAAAACTTGTTCCACAGATGACTTCAGCAACATTTCACAACAACAGAACATGTAGATTGTTTGGGATATATTTTCAACAACAACCCTTAGGCCCAAACGTTGTCATTCAGGTCTGAGCAACACTCAGAACATTAAATGAATATTATGCAAAGTGGTATTTCTGTTTGATAAAATATTAGGGTTTATGATTTTCTTTTCTAATTAGTCTTGACACCTAAACTTTGTTTTGTACTCTGTCTTCAGGGAAGAAATCATCTGAGTCCTGGACAATGTTGGGCCTTTGCAGGCTTCCCAGGACGCTTATCCATCAAACTGTCCCACAGAATCACCGTTACTCACGTGTCCCTGGGTCACATTCCTAAGAGTATATCCCCGACTTTCACAGTCTCCAGTGCTCCGAAGGAATTTTCTGTCTATGTAAGTCAAGCAACATCACATGTATCATATATGTGTCCACCTATACTGTGGAAGAAGGGGCTTTAAATGTGTTAGCAATGATTTAGTATGACATCACTTGATCACATCCAAACTTTCTGTGTGCACAAATGAATTTTCTGCTTATCTCAGGGTGTGATATGTTTTTAGATACACCAACTAACTTTCACATATATAGAAAGAACAAGATAATGAAATGGATTTCTAATTTTGTCTCAGGGAAAGAAGCATTTACACGATCAGGAGAGTTTATTGGGAACTTTTCAATATGAGGAGGATGATGACAGCTTACAGACCTTCAAACTTCCTGTAAATATGTCAAATTAATATTTTATTAACCAAATACAACAGTTCTTACAGAAGCCCAGAGTGACTGACCCTGTTATAAATATTGGTATTTGTTCCTAACATACAACCATAAGGTTCTTCACACCAACTTTTATTATGTCTTATAACAAAATCTATCAATCTGTTATCACAAAATAGTTAGTTTTGTTGTATCACGATAAGAAACAAATCAAAATAAACCTCCAGTTTTACTAGATAACATTTTGTTTTCTGGTTAGAAAGATATTAGTATAATTC